CAATTCATATTTGAAATTAAATGTGAACGTCACATTTTCTTTCAGTTCAGATGGCCATTCCTCCCCCTTTCCTGCTCTTTTGGTCCATAGTTGGGCACAGTCCCATGACATTTTCATTTAAATCCCATGATGAGGGATGTCAGACGGGAGTAGTAAACCCAGAAAGAAAAGAATGCCTTGGAGTTTGCCCAAGAGACTCAGCAAAAAAAGCATGTTCTTGGACGTCATCTCAATTTGTGCCTATGGAATATCCTCGTGAGCTGACATTCTTCCAGCTCCCTTATCAGGGCAGAATCTCTACATACACGCCTATTAAACGCAGGCGGGCCTCTGGTATTTCTTGAGCATGTCCCAACCCTAGTGCCCCATCAACCATGCAAAGAATTCACTATGCCTAATCTCAAGACATCACAAAATATCAGGAGACTTTCCTGATCAAACTTTCCTCGGTCAAACTCCTCACCCTTTTGTACCCTCTTCTGACCACCCCCACTTGATCCGTGGGTTACCCTGACCCAGCCTCCAAACATCCCTTTTGGGGACCGGTCTCCTCCTCTTAGCAGCAAGTCTTGCGGGTGACAGCACTTCCAGCCCGCCATAAACAAATCAAGTAGCCCTTGGCGAGGCGCTAGCAAAAAAGCGGGAATTCAGTATCTCCCCTTGTAAACTCAGAGTAGAGCAGGGTGGGAGCATCTGTAGAAGTCAGGAAGCGGAATGAACTGAAGGGGAATTCTTGTGGGGCATTTCTGTTTTATGTGTATCTTATGTGGAAAAAGGCTGGGATGTTACCACCTCCCGCTCATTCCTCCTTTTTTCTCCTCTCTTCGGCAAGGTGAAGATCTGGTTCCAGAACCGCAGATCCAAGTTCAAGAAGATGTGGAAAAGTGGTGAAATCCCAGGAGACCAGCAGCGTGGTGGTAGCTCCTCTCCGACATGCGCCTCGCCTCCTGCTTCAGCCACCCTCACCTGGGACTTTGCTCCCCACCCGCAGCGAATGAGTAACGGTGGTGCCACCGGCAGCGGGAGCAGTGCCGGCTCAAGCCCTGGGACTCCGAGCGGAGCGGCTGCTTTCCTGGGTAACTACTCATGGTATCACCAGGCATCCAGTGCCGCTGCAGCTTCCCATCTGCCAGGAGCCTCCCCAATCCTGCAACAAGGGCAGTCTCACCAGCATCACCCCCATCTTCATCACCCCCATCACCATAGCGCAGCTGTCAGCGCAGGGACCATTTTCTAATCCCATCGCGTAGGCCCGTGCACTCAGTTCTGCTCTCCAAGGGATCCTCCCGGGTGGAGAAGGAAGGCTTTTCTGTTCCAGTGGGCAGAGAGGTGTTCCCCTGGTGCTTTGGGAAGTAGTCCATAATTCCTTCCCCACCCCAAAGTATCTCAGCAGCAGCGCCCGACTTGGTGGTGCCAAACGGGACGAGCACCTTGAAACTTCAGCAATAATCCCTGAAGTTTCAGACTGAATGAGAATCTAGCTCTCCTCCCCCCAAACCTCCGCTCAGAACACCACTCACCCAATCCAATCCGTGACTCCAAAGTCGCTGACAACGTTCTTATTGACAAGCATGAAATCCGGGCAAAGCTGTGGTCACACCCTTGGTCAAAAGCCCTCAGTGATTGTTTTTCTCCTTCAGGGTTCTCTGTCCACCCACTCCATCACCTCAACCTAATCTTTGACACCCATAAGACGTTAAAAACTGTGCATGCGGCGCACACAGGTCCACTTTTCTCCCATTTTTCATCAAATCGCTAGTGCAAAATTTCTTATTTAATTTTGTCTATTTTTTTATACGTTTTTATAGGTGCCTTTGCAGATGACCTCATTTTGATGTTGGGGGGGAAAAAAGATAAATAATTTTTATATGTAGATATTTAAAATGAAAAAAAAAAAGAAACCCAGCTGTGTTTAAATTATCTTTTTTTAAATGTTTGCAGGACTTTTTCTTCGCAAGAAAAAGATATAAATATATACATATATATATATATATGTTTGTAATAGAGTTGTTTGTGCTAATTCTCCCCAAACCTCTTTGTCTTAAAAAAGAGGAGGGGTAGTTTCATTGGACAGGCTATATTTGTTCATGTTTTGTGAACCAAGAATTTTTTATGCCATCGTTTTCTCTCTTTCTCTCTGGGCAGCTTCCATACCCTCTTTGTTATTCTGTTTTTTACCTTTCAACTTCACTATCACAAAGAATAAGCTACTGAATTTTCCCAGTTCGTAGTTTAAACCTTTAAAACATTTTTTTAAAACGTATGTTCTTGGTTATTTATTACAAAAACCAAACAAAAAAAATCACTCAATGTTACTTTTACAATATGAAGAGATTATTTAAATAAATTATTGTTTGCACCGTACTTGATTCAGTCAGTAGTGTCTTGGAGAATCATTTTTCTGTCTTCTTCTGGTATCTTCATATTGGCCAGACTGTGCACTGGGTGAGAAACCCGCTAGCCTGCAGACGTTGGAGGCGCCCATTTTCTTCCCATCTCTTTCCCGTAACGAAATCCTAGTTCTTCCTGCCACCCACCAATTAGTTCCTTCCGTGGAATCAATCATCCCTTCGGGCAGAAAGACGCCGCTTCCGCTGCTCTTCGTCGTCGCTCTGAGGGCCTGAATCTGGGCGGGCTTCCTCGCTTCTCCGCCGCTGCTGCGAGCCCGGCACCTGTTGAGCGACGGGGCCGTGCCTTCTTGAAGGGCATTTTCGAGCCACGAGGACGCAGATGCGGTGCTGCTCAGCGTCGTCCCATCCACACGCACGCGCGCGCGCGCGCGCCCCGAGGCAGGAGAACCGCGGCTGCCTCCCCTCGGCGACCCAGCCTGGATCACTCAACGCTTCTCCGCGCTCGCCTAGACTCGGCCCCACCCCACTGCGCTCTGGCGCCAGTAGACAGGGAGGCAAGCCGGGCAGGCTCCTGGCGGCTTCCCGCGCTGCAATCCCGGCAGTGTGACGGCGGCTCCTGAAGCTGCTGGTAACCGACCTCCCCCGTAATCAGCCCCCGCGGATGCGCCCCAGGCCCACGCAGTAGCGGGGAGAAAGGAGTCCCGAACGCCTTCGGCTTGGCCTGCTTGCGCGCTTGGCCGCCTCTGCCAGAAAACCTCTCGGAACTAAACAGCCGCTGCTCTTGCTGAAGATTTCCTTTATGAACAAACGCGAGGCAAACCCAGACACGGGACGTGGAACTACAGCAGGTCTGGGAAACAGCGCTTCAACTCTGTAGTTGTTTGGTTTTGCCTTCATCTCCGGTTATTTATATTTTTGCCCCACTTCACAGGCTTTCCCTGGATGAGGGTGACACTCTTCTCCTGCTGACAGTACCCACTGCACTTGTATTCGAAATCCAGCATATTTCTATACAATCTATAAAGGTGATATATTAGTAATCTGTCACCTGAAAGGCTCACAGATCTGTTACGATTTATGCCACAATGCATCTGTCAGTCTTGCAGGAGGCTGGGCACCTGAAGACTAACGCCAAAAAGCTTGTTCTGGCTTCTGTATTTGGCAGGAGAGGCCAAAGGATGCTCTCACTGCCCCCCCCCCCCTGCCAAAGCTCAAATCAGATAGGGAACCTTCCAAGGTTCCATGAACGATTCTTCAGGGTCTTACAAATATGTTGGTGCACCGTGCAACAGAGGGGGTCCAGCAGCAGTACCTGGAACAAAACCGTTATGCAACTGGGGTCTACTGGGGCAGATGCTTCTTCTGGCAGCCTCCTTTCTTTATGATGAGGATGATGATTCTTTTCCTTACATTTTATAGCTATGAGTTGACCCGTGGGAGATGTGCATGAATATAGTTAGTATCTATTCCATAATACTTCAAATAACTGTTAAGTATGAAGTCCAAACTAGCATCTAGAATTACTTGCTTCACTTCCAGCAAATAGCCGGTACTTGCCTGGTTTCAGTGACAAATGTGATCACTGACTTTAAATACCTTGACTGGTTATTTCTACAGATTTCGTGTTTTCCTGTTGCTTTTGTAGCCATAAACATGAAACCCTGAAAGCCCTTAAACTGGCTCCTTTCTTATTGAATCGCTGCGACACATGCACTAAAGCACTCATCCACCCCTCCCCTTATTACTCTGAAGATCCGTTTCCATGACTCAAGATTCCCCACGACTACCCCATCCTGCGTAGCTTCAGTTTTTAGGAGAAAAACGGCCCTCTTCGTTTCCTGACAATGAGCATGATCGATTTGGGGGGCCATATGATTTCACTCAGTAAAGATTTGCTTTTCCCTACATTGTGTCTTTTCTGTGTATTAAACTTCGACTCCCATAATCCCCAGCCGACAGAATAAGGATTATTGGAGTCTAAGATGTAAGAAAAACATTAGGTGGAGGACCCCTCATTTTTTAAAGGCAAATTGGTTATTTTCCTTCCGTGCTGTACAAGTCTCTCTCGGTAACTCCGTTTTACTTCCCGGTCTTTGCCAAGGTGGTTTGTGGGACGAGCGCCCCGCGAAACGATTAAAAGCCCCACAAGATCTCTACTCGCCTGCCGAGACATAGGGCCGCTTCCTCCTCGGGCAATGCCAGCAGCGGCGTCAGTAGAAAGGTTAAGAAACGGCCACCCCCTTTCTCTGCTGACATCTTAGGAGGTGCTGCTTGGCTAGACTGTGCTCGGACGAGAGAAAAGGTAAGGATGCACCTGAGCAGATGCCGGGGAGGTGGCAGGAGCCGGCGAAGGAGCCAGAGACTGGCTGCGAGCCCGGGGCCAGGCCGAGGCGGCCTTTTCAGCAAAGGCTTTCCTTGTCCTCCAGAAGCTGCACGAAGAGCAAAGAGTGCAGGGGTGAATCGCCAGGCTGCCCGCTCGCGCCATCCTGGGGTGGGGAGGCGGGGGGAGCGGGAGGAAGAGATGAATGCGCTGCCAAACGGGATGATTAAGGGGCCTAAACCTCAACGCGCCGGAGGCGGTGAATGTGCAGCCTGACTTGGAATCACGCAACCCGCCTTGGCACGAGAAGCGGGCGGGGGGGCGCGGAACAAGCGGGCGGACAAAATCCGGAAGATAGCGGGGTGTGGGCGGTGTTGTCCTCTTCCGCCCCAATCAAAAGCCCTGTCACGGTTGGCTTCGTCAAAAAACAACAGCAGCGTTCTTACCAACCTCCTAAGGCTGTCAGGCTAAAAGCCGCCCGGGCAAAGCAGGTCAGTTTTACTCAGCCCCATCTTGCAGAAAGAGAAAGTTCGTGCTTAGGAAGGAAAAAAAATGGCCACGCTTCAGTAAGTTTCTGGCCGCGGAGAGGGAGCGCTGGAGTTCCAGAACCGTGCGCGTCTCTGGCTACTTACTGCCCCTTAAAGCCCAGATTCCCTCGGGCAAGAATCTCGCGAAACAAAACGGGCGCCACAGCGCGCACCCCCCACCCATCCAGACGGCGGGGGCGGGAAAACAACACACAGAGAGAAACTCCGGCAAAGCAAACGCACGCGCAATCGCCCCCCACCCCCGTCTCCCTTGAAGCAAGCCCGCCCGGCGCCCATCTCAGAAGGGCACAGCGAAGAACAAAGAAGGAAAGAGGCAGCGGGAAGAAGGCGAG